TGTTTCCGGGAACTACTAAATTTCGGAAACTATTGAATTATCACGACGATACCGAATATGCGTCTGCTACGGCAATGGCCTGTCATCTTCAAAACATCCAGGATTTCGATTTGCTTCAACACATTCACGTTTTCGATCACTGCCTTTCGGACCAGAGCCTTTTTCGCTTCGGTAAACTTACGACCCCCGTGGGCCGTATTGTCTGAAACAGTAGTCTTTTCAAAAAAAAGTTCAAAACATGTCTCTGAGAATATGCCCAGAAGAGTTATCGAAGGCGCTGGCTATCAAAATATGATTTATTTCAGTTTCGCATTATATGTGAGATTACGGCATTCATTCTATTGGAACTCAGCTTCATGTTACATCATGAAAAAATTGTGTTTTGAGGCTATTCACATGCTGATCACAATAATAGTGTCCACTTTGTTCACTACTGTCCACAGCAGAGCTGCGGTAGCAATACGGTGGAATTTTCTCAAAAATCAAAAAAAAACTGATATAAGAGGGCGGTGTTAGAACTTGAGACTAACATTTTCGTAATCAGCACGCTCATTCTGCGAAAAATTTGAGCTAAGGTCCGTCCTTAACTCCGTCTACGGCATACCTACCGTAGCATTACATTACAGTATCCCGAGGCAGGACCGCCTGGCTGGTGCTTCGCCTAGGTGTCTCCAATCATGCGCCACAACCACGTAGAATTCCATCGTGAACTGTCAAAGAGCTTCGGTACTGTTACGACCTACCAGTGGGTCGTACTGTCCGAAATGGCTAAACACGTACGACCCACTGGTGAGTCGTATTGTCGTGAATGTGTTAACAATGCACTCTTGTAACCAAGATCACAAATAATATGCGAACTACATTTTCTAGAAAAAAAAAGATAAAGTAGCAGTACCATTGGTGAAGCGGCGGCGGTGCAGGAGGAACCAGAGCCCTTGACCCCTGTATCCAAGAAGGAAAGGGGAGGAGCTGGCTGCGTGCCAAGAAGGATCTGGCAACCTTCCAAGCTCCGCCCACTGCTCTGAGTCTGGGTCTTACCTTTTTTTTTGCTCAGGAATTCCTTGATGGAAAAGGCTAGTTCAAAAGACCTGGAGTGGAGATACAAAGATGGGAAAAACAAATTTGTGACCAGTTTTGATAGACGAATCTTTAAAATGGACTTTTGTATGAATTCAAATCAATGCAATTCAGCATTCTTTTGAAGATTAGAAATTGATGAACAATTTTTATTAGAGCCCCGGCTCGATTTCAAATTTTTCATGAACTCCTCTTTGGCGAACATTCTAATTTTTACTCCAATACCTGAATGGCTTCGCGAAAAATTTACATTGATTTTATCCTGAGATAATTTTCTAAATATTTTACGATAGTCACTGTGCTGGTTGCATTTGCGCTAATCGATAGCCGATTAGTTGACCTTTGCAGGATCAAGCCAGTCGTCTGATGAGCCAAGAGAGTCATGACTCAAGTGAAAACTTTTTTTATTAACTCCATCAAATGTTTTACTCGGAGGTGGGAGGGAAAGATTGGGAAAAATTCGCTAGAAATACGTTGAAAAGTCGTGTTTCGCAAAGAAACTTGCGAAAGTAGATAGATGCCAAACTATTAACCAAAAATGTTCGAGTTGCAAAATCAGACTTGGCCAAAAAGCTGCAAAAAGCAGGCAAAGTCGCCAACACTTGTCTGTTATAACAGTTACAGTAGTTTCCATTGATTTTCCCCTATTTATAATACAATATTGTCCCAATTCTTCAATTTTCTGGCTCAAAAACTGACAGCGGGGTAAAGGTTGTCCAGGTTTGGTTCGCACTTCAAATCTGAGCTGTGAAGCTTTACTGAGCCTCCTCTCAGGCATAACGATGTTTGCGTTTGCATTTTACGTACTTATTGGATCTGAGTATCCAAGATGTAGTTGTTCTTTTTGTTGGAGTTATTTTTAAAATCACTTTAAAACTTCATTTTCTTATAGCTTATGTTCTCCTGCTTTGAATCAATTTTTTGGTAATCCACCTTCTAAGCTGTATCATTACATCGGTTTTGAGCAAAATTAACCAACAATTAAATGGTAAAGGTGTTCTATATGAATTTTACAAAGATGAGCTTTACTCTATACATTTATTAGGTTTATGACATGGTACTACTTCTATTATCCACCCGGTACCTTGAAACCTGTTTTAGAATCTTTACTGTCCATTCCACATGTTCCAATTCATAGTTCAACCTCTTAACTAATCGAATTTGACCAATATCTGGTAATCCATCCACCATTCTTGCTCAGCACACAATGGGAGCATCCCGTGGGCGGAGCGATGGGCGGAGCCTCCTCTGTCTTCCCCATTCCCTCTTGGATACAGGGGTCAAGGGCTTTGGTTCCTCCTGCACCACCTCCGGTGAAGCAGGCTCAAAACATATTATGAAGAGGAAACAGTCATACGATTTCTACATCTCCTCACCTTATAGACAACAGCTCGAAAAGTAAACTCTAAAAAGTCCATGGTTGAAGAGTTGTTGCGCGTCAAATTTTGAGATCTAAATTTGTGTGTGAAATGGTCCCTTATAAAATATCTGCGTGCATAGCGCAGATGGCAGTGATGCAGTCGCCTGTATGGGGTGCGGGAAGTTTCTCACGAGCCATATTCTCGCACCTAAGTGATGTGCCTGGCAGGCACATCCGAGCTCGCTACAGTTACGAGCTCCTCAGAAGACCAAGACATCGCAAGCCCCGCCCCCTTATTTAGGGTTCGCTCCAGATGATGAAACCGGAATTTCATGGAACCTTTCGAAATCGAAGTTCAGAAGTGAATTTGCTTCAGTCAAGACCAAATTTCAGATCTAGGGGGTTTTCGAGGTTGCTCTTTTCAGTAGTGTGATTTGTTTATTGCAAAGTCAACGTTCAGCACCGATGATGCTTAACCAAGATTGAAATTCGGCTATTTTAAAACAAGACCAAAATTCAGGTTCAAGGGTTCTTGCGATATCGATAGGATTTGTCTTTTAAGCAATTTTTTGGAGACATTAATGTTCTTCTCATAAAACCGGATTACTTCCATAGAATTGTGCCAGCTGCTGGATTCTTTTCCTGACATTTTCGGGAATATGTCAAGGTACAGCGCTGATAATTACTCAGTCAAATATTTCCTGATTACTTGATATAGCACAGGTCACTGAAGTCGTCGAGGCTGGCTCAATGCCAGAAAGCTTCATAGTAGACGTGGAAAGCTCGGAGTAGAGTAGTGTCAAACAATAGAGAAAAACATCTTTATTATTTTGGGAACATCCAAACTCAAATTTGGTCTGGTTCTCAGAAAATTTTCAATATTTTTCTGAATGCAAATTAAATTTGATTTAGGTGTTTCCGAGGTCTCCTTTCCTAAAACAAGTCCAAAATTTAGGTTTACGAGTTCCCGAAAAAATAATCGTATTCCTATTGATTTTTCCCCCAAATTTAGTCTTGGTTAAGCATTATCGGTGCACGTTGACTTTGCAACAAACAAATCAAACTACTGAAAAGAGCAACCTCGAAAATCCCTAAGTCCGAAATTTGGTCTTGACTGGAGCAAATTCACTTTTGAACTTCGATTTCGAAAGGTTCTATGAAATTCCGCTTTCATCATCTGGAGCAAACCCATAAGGGGGCGGGGCTTGCGATGTCTTGGTCTTCTGAGGAGCTTGTAAACTGGAGTGAGTTCGGATGCGCCTGGCAAGCACATCATTTAGGTGCGAGAATATGGCTCGGGTGAGGAACTTCCGCCCACCCCCCCCCCCCCTGTACGAACTATTGTAGGATCGATCACATGTGCGTTCATTTGCTTTGCAAACTATCCATTAACTTTATTGCAAAAAATGTGCCAAGTACCTCAAACTTGGGTAACTAAACCGCAAAAAAGGTTAGTAAAATCAATTTTCTTTCTTTGTCACATAAGGGAGATAAAGCACTACTTGGTAAATGAGAACTTCGGCATTTCCAAGTGTCTCAGGTGATTGAGTGGCATGATGATTGAATAAGGAGTGACAAATCGCAGGTTCGACCTCAGCAACTGTCGAATGAGCAATCCAAAACTTTTTATCGGTATAGCAACAATTTATGATAAAAATTATGCGCTCCGAACATGACACTTCCCCACAGTTTAGATTCAAACCGAAAGCGAAAGCTATACGAAGCAATGAAAAACAATGCTGAATGAAAACGTAAGCGAGTTGTACGAGCTGGGTTTACTCAAGAAGAAGAAAGGAGGGTAAGGGGGAAGGGAGCCGCGGGGGGGGGGCAAAACCCACGGTGAGAGCAGGGGGCAAGGAAGTACGTGGAAGGAGCCCCAGAAGCGTAATACCGCACCAGCAACCGCAAGGGGAGGCGCAAGGTGGCGAGACAGGACAAATGGCATCCAAGAAGAAGGAACAGGAGAAACAATATCTCAATGTTCCCATCTCCGTGAAATAAAAAAACGAAACCCCTCACCAACTCAAACTGGAAGAAATATAGTTGGGTTCCCATTTTTCTTCGCAAAACGCGCTCAATATACAGTCCCAAACTTACCCCGATAAAGAATATCATCAACCCAAGTACGTAAGGGAATCGAACTCTTAATGCGATCGTGACAGTCCGACTCACTATCCATTCAACCATTCTTGGATGCCAAATAAAGTCACGCTTGAGTATTGTAAGCTTGACCACAAGCACTGAACCGGCAAATCAGGATTTGAACTCGTCATCAAGCTGAGAAATGATGTTCTTATCCATTTGACCATATGTCATCCCAGTTATTTTCGTGCTACATAAACGTTCCATTGCTTCTCAAAAAATATCAATCCCAGGACTAAATTTTTCCAGCCTTCCTGGTCTAATTTCTTACCCTTTGGTTGTGCGACAGTTTTCGCACTCCTTTTCCATCTTTAACAATTCCTAGCATTTTTTAAATCCAGTACTGCAAATGCAAGCTGAGCCTATCTGCTAGAGGCCATTAAGTACTAAACGAAAATAGCAACACATACACATTTTACCAGAATTTTTATTCGAGGATAGAACAACCGTTTGACAGACAAAAAATCGACAGATGATAAATGTTTACAAAGGATAGACAGACATAGACAGATAGAGTTAGAGCGATATATTCGACGATAGACAGACGAACAGAGGTGTTTACCGGTAGATAGATAAAGAACATTCTTTGTATTAAGACTAGATGAAAAGGGCAATATAATGTAAATTTGGACCTGTGTTTCGGACAGCTAGAGAAAGTGGTCGTACGGCTTCTGGAGAAATTTCCAACAGGGAGAGAGAATTTACCAAACAAGACCCAAAAGATTTCTCGACTCCAGATGTAAACCATACTCCCGCTTCCTAGTCTGATATGCTTCGAAATTTGTATAAAGAAGAATTCTCGAATAAAACTGATCACGATTTTTTTGTCTTAGGAAAAATCACAATTCGCAGAACGTAGGAAAAAAGTGAAGAACAACAAGCGACTAAATATTTGGCGCATAGAAGATTTCACAGACATGTTAAGCACAGAATGGATGACTAGAGTGATATGATCACTAACCGGAACATAGAAAGTATCATCTCAAGGAGTTCTCTTCTATGAAGATTGATAAACACACACGAGCAACGACCACCTAGCGATCAATAAATCAATCAATCAAATCCACGAAGTTTTTTAGTGTCTCTTCGGTGATCCGAATGCAGTGGTGACCGACAAGTAATATGTTTGGCTAATGATGACAAGTAATGTCCAGGTTATTCACCGGCACATATATTTGTATATTCGGCAAGTACAGAAGGAAATGAAGATGAAAATACAGTCGTGGATATGAAACACTCAACCTCGATTCGACACGTAACATGGCAAGAAAAATCGCTTGGAAACCGAAATTTTGAAGGTGGTCTATGTATGTATACGGATTTCTTCAGAGCTTTAGATCAAAAAGCAAACAAAGGAAATGACAAGAAAATCGCGAATAAATTCAACGTGACAGCTTGTCTAGATAAACCATCCCGAGAAACACAAATGCACATCAAATACATTCCCAGACGCTTCGCAGATAACCATAGAAATTAGCACTACAAATTATACGACTTGCTTGTAGATACATGCACGGCCACTAACTAGGCTTTGGCCGTTTTCTCTTTGAGTTTCTCCGCGGGTGGCGGTCAAGAATAACGGGTGGCGGTCAAGAATAACGGGTGGCGGTCAAGAATAACGGGTGGCGGTCAAGAATAACGGGTGGCGGTCAAGAATAACGATAGCTCTGCCAGCCGCCCAGCTGCCAGCTGCTCGAGCGCGCCAGAAGGCCCCGCCTTTCTCTCTGGACGAGCGCACGCATGGGCATGCGGCGCGGTTTAAAGGACGCGCATCTTATCGGCTGATGATTCACCATTTGTTCACGATTCTTACCCAAAATCATATTTTCTCATTGCGATTCATTTCTCTCGTATTCGTGCAACTTCTTAGTTTTACGTGTTTTGCTCTGATTTTTTAGTCTGTTCTCATTTATCATTGTCTCATTCAACCTTTATAGCTTTACCGTGTGTTTTATTTCGTATATAGTTGCCAATAATCTCATTTTCACTGATGTTTGCTTTTTATAGGATTTTCGTATTTGCGTGGGTGGATTGCGTCATCAACACTCATCAACAATACTTAGTAAGTGCCTAGTGTTTCTTATATTTCTTTTCGTATTTCTTATTTATGTTTCTTGTATTTTGGGTTGCACTGAACACTTTTTCGAAAATATTTTCAGATCCTGTCCCACATCTCCGACTTTCCCAGCTTCATCCGCAAGTCCAGTTTTTGTTTTTGTTTTTGTTTGTGTATTGTTTTTCTAATTTGTTTGTTGTTTTGTTTTGTTTTTAATATTTTGATTTTGTTGTTGTTCGTTGTTTGTTGTCGGTTGTTGAATACATTGTTTATTAAAAGCTGTATTAACACATTATCAATAACACATGAGTAGGCAATTGTTAATTATCCAAATAGCTTAGGTAGTAGAAAGATGTCTATCAATTTACTTTATTAGTCACAAACTGCGACATCTTTCTACAATACATTGATATGATAGTTGTGCGGGGGATGGGATTGCTTGGGGAAAATTCTTGTTCATAGCGCCTCATCACTGCAAGAATTTTTGCGCGTCTTATCCTGTCCCTCTTCTTCAGTACTTTACCAGTGCGCCTCTGAAAGTTTTACATTTACATACGTCGGGATTCAGTTATATACCGCTATTCAGTTATATACGAGCCATTCGCTCCACCATTACGACGAGAGGGCCGCCACCGGTGCCTGAGCCACGACCGCCTCTGGAATTCTGATCACGATAGGGTCTTCGTTCCATTCCTCCATATTGAGACGTGGACGGAACAATGCCGTTGATTCCAGACGAATGCGGTATCGCTCCATTTGGATGCATAGGGTAGCCATTTGCACCAGAAGGATAGTTTCGATTTGCTTAAAGAAGAATTTTAAGAGAAAGCAGTGCCCAAACAATTCTTACATCTTCCAGAATGCGGGTTTCGTTGCTGCGGTCCGTGTCGATTCATTCTTTGCTGTGATTCATCTTGCACATGAACAACAGTGGCATCAGGACGGAATGTAGCTCTTGGCACGTAATTATAGCTGGCTAAGAGTTGTCCCAATTCATATAATGGTGTGAAGAGTTGAGGCTCGGCTGCTATGGGTTCCGGCATGTGCAAAAGAAACTGTCTGAAAACTTTATACAGTGCTTTACAAAATTACAGGTCCACTCTAAAAAGTGTCATAACTCACTCTGTTGTCAATAAAATGTTCAAAAATTTGGTACGGCCGTGTTTTGCCGGCCTACTATCAGTCATCAAAATGGGTCTCGTTTTCGTTTGGTTATTCAAAAAATTGAAAATTTTCAAAAAAGCAGGCTTGAAGGCTGAACAAAATTATAGGTCCACCTGGAGTTTTACTGATTGAAGCATTTCTTAGCTCCCGAATTTTTTAGGTAGGTACACATCTAAAAACGTTAAACAGCTGCTTTAGTCAAGCTGTGTCATACCTTCAAAAAGAACTGATTATCTTTTTTGCCTTGAAAATGCTTTCGCATGTATTTCGCTCCACAAACCTGTGTTGAGTAAAAAATTCTGCAGTTTCTCATCTGGATCGGAAGCGACGTCTACCTTCTGAATGCTTTTTGACGTGAGCATTGAGGAAAAAGTCTACTTTTTGCTGCTGAAGCAAATCCAACATTGACAATACTGCAATCCTGAGCTCAAATTTCTGTCTACAAACCTCTTTTACGATGTTCTCAGAAGTATTAAGTAAAGTAAAGGCGTTGTTTCTACGAGGGGGAGTCCGTCTTCCATGGTTGCAACTTTCTAGAGATCCTAGCATTCGAGTATAATTACTGAAATTCCCTGCAGAAAATGATTACGACAAGCACAAAAGCTATTTGTGGCTCCTACCAAAATTTTCAGAAAAATCATCTGCTAACATACACTACAAGCTGTATTCGCTATCTAGTAAACAATTACTGTCAAAAATCTAAGCGAGGTAGCTAGCACTTGGCAAGCTATTTTGGATCTGCGTAACACCATCATTAAGTTGCACACACAGCTCATGTTTCGAAAAAGAAAAAAGGCAGCTTTGTGGACACTTGCGAGTATGGCAAACAGCTTTATTCCTGTGTAAAGAATGCTTTTACAATATCTTGAGGTTATAATGACAATGCATAAAGGGTTTTAGAGCAGAAACCGAGGCTTACTCTCCCGACTGAGTCGATGTCGGATTTGCTTCAGCAGCAAAAAGTCGGATTTTTTCCTCAATGCTCTCGTCAAAAAACATCCAGGAGGTAGATGAAACACCGTCGCTTCCAATCTAGCTGAGAAACCGCAGAATTTCTTACTCAACGCAGGTTTGTGGAGCGAAATGCATGTGAAAGCATTTTTAAGGCAAAAAAGCAGATAATCGTTCTTTTTGGAGGTATGACACAGCTTGACCAAAGCAGCTGTTTAACGTTTAGATGTGTGCCTACCTAAAAAAATTCGGGAGTAAGAAGCGCTTTAATCAGTAAAAACTCCAGGTGGACCTATAATTTTGTCCAGCCTTCAAGCCCATTTTTTTTTCAAAATTTTCAATTTTCTTTTGAATAACCAAACGAAAACGAGACCCATTTTGATGAATGATAGTAAACTGGTAAACACACGGCTTTACCAAATTTTGGAACATTATATTGACAACAGAGTAAGTTATGGCACTTTTTAGAGTAGATCTATAATTTTGTCCAGCACTGTAGAAAGCGAATTGAGTTTTTCAGCGGCGAATTTTCATTTTGCATTCACTATTATAGAGTGTTTCGATCGCGGCGTAGACTACACCACCTGCGTAATCGCGATTCTGCGAACACGCCTATACGATTCCAAGCCAACTTCTGATCAGAGATCTCAAGAGATCAAATTGTATGGCCGCGTGGTACAATGGATAACGCGTCCGCCTAAAGAGCAGAAGATTGCATGCTCGAATCTTGCAGTGGTACCTTTTGTTTTATTCAATCAAAAATTGGAATAAAATCCAAAAAAATGGCAAAATGAAGACCCAAAAAAACTCGGCCAGCGGCGGTCAGGGCAGGTGGGTGGGACAAACAAGGAGCTGAAGAGGTCCAATCGAGCTTCCTTCCTTACTGATGAGTTCCGGGGAAAGCCTAGGACCTGTTTAGCCAAAACGTCTAAGGGTAGGAACTAAACGGTACAACTAAAGAGTCGAAGTTGTATTCCACTTCTTAAGGAATACAACTTCGGCTTTTTTTGACCGAGTATGTGTGATGCCGGGCGGAGCCGGGTTTGCCAGCTATAATAGATATTAAGGCACAAAATTCAGTGTCACAACAATTTCTTGTCTGATAGATCAGCTCGTTTTGAAAGGTTTCTCTATGCTGACCTTTGAACTATCAATTAATTGTCCATGAAAGTGAGAAGCGAAAGGGCAGATCAGAAAAATCAAGTCGATAAGGAAACTTCCAGAACATGAAATCATAGACTTGACAGCTTTAACAGAAGCTCTCTTGTTCCAACTCTCTTTTATTTTTTCCTTCTAGTTCTCAAGTTTGGCTAGTGTCATTCTTAATGCCCTCTTCTATCTTTCTCATTTTAATTTGAGATTAAATAGGTTGATGAATTTTTTACAGTTAGAAAACTTGCTGAAAAAGAAATGTGTGGATTTCAGTTGAAATTTACAATTTACAATATGGTTGGCATTAGAAATGCGGACAAACTTAAGTAGACAATATACTGACAAGTCTAAAGAAAATCCATGTTTGTTGTCTTACTGTTTCTGATGAATTCATTACTAAAGAGGAACGCAACATTGTATTAGGTTGTAAAGAAAGTTCCCGGGCACTTTTGGAAATTTTATTTTCAAACGTATTTTTCGGCACCCGGTCGGACTTTGATACCAAAAAATTCTTTATACTGTTCAGTAGAGGGAAGCCTGAAGTTTTCAATACGGCTTCTGATTTTTATCGATGCCAAGACGTGTTTAATCTGCATTTTAAAAAGTTAAATCTTTCCAACCATAAAAATTCCATAAAAATTTCACTACTTTCTTCCTACGGTCATTTCTCTGCGCAGTTCAAAAAATCTCGTCTAAATCATGGGTGATCTG